CACCCTCCTTCGCTTGCGCCGGGAAATCTGATGGTGAACGAGTGTATTTGAAATGGGCCTCTCTCTTCCACCCATTTTTATCTTATTTCCATTTCGCAAGTGAAAAGTGAATAAACTTTTTGCCCAGAAAAAAAAAACTTTGTCTTTTGATATGTTTTGCGCCCCGACACAAAGGCATCATTCATTCATCCATTTCGGGGGGGATGTTTTTTTCCACCGCAGATTTCTCAATGAAATGAGAAATTTTATTATTAGTTTCTCTGTTGTGGAGAGAATTTGCAAGAATATGTCTTTTGCAGAGAAATCACGCCGTTCTTAAATCGTTTCACATCCAAGTTCACATCGAGGAAAAAAAAGGATTAGAGAGGAAAAGAGTACAAAATTCATGGATAAACCCAGAGGAATTATCCAAGTATGAAGTCAGATTAATGGCAAAATATAAAAATTTCCCATCATGCACAGAAATATTGTAAGAGGATTTTCACTTATCCTGCTGCAAACTTTTCCAAATGGTTTTATTTGCGACGATTTCACTGCGAAAAACAACTCATTTTCATCATAATTTTTGTAAATGCTTAAAAGAAATTCGCCAAATTTACCCTAAAATACCGAACAAAAATTATTTTGTGAATATTCTGACAATTCTTAACCAAAATATGACAAAGTTAATGGAAAAACTCAAAAAATTGAAAATATTTCTTTTCAAAATCAATTTTTTATTGTTCTTTCATACTTTACATGCACTTTTCTGTACTATTTTCAAGTGAAAAAATTCAAAAATATGACAAATATTCATTCAAAGTCAAAGAACATTTTAGAAAAATTTTGAAAATCGAACATATAATATGTTTATCAAATCAGAAGCAATTTTAAACTAATAAATGCAATTTGAGACAATTTTCTTAATAAAAATGTACATTTTAGGCGATAAAAAGCGACTTTTCGAAATTCATGCATTGAAAATAAATAAAATTGATATACAAATCTCAAAATTTTTCAATATAAGACGAAAACTCTGATAAATCGACTTTTCTTAGTGTTCGATTCACCCGTCGAGCATAAACCTTCAAATAATCTGGCTATCGTCTAGACTTCAGTGGTCAAAAGGTCTTTTCGATAAAAAAAACTCGTCCAACCTTTCATCCGCGATGTTCTCCAGCCGAGGGGTGAATAATTTGGTCATCCCCTGCTCACCATCTAGACACCAATTAAAGTCTCCATTCTCGCTGAAGCTTACAAAATGCATATTTGTCGGACATCATCGGTGCATAAAAAGTACGATTAAGTGGAGTGACACGAAGGAAGTCAATGGAACAATCAAAATAACAGTCACAGAACACAAATTAGATGGCTTTTTTTCTGCATAAATTATTCAAATTCTGTTATGAAATACACAATTTTTCCTCTCTTTCGGGGAGAATAACTTTTTTTTACTGCTGTAAAAATGGACTCTTAATGCTGTTTGGAAACGCAAAGTGACTTGGCATCGGCATTGAGGGTCAGACAGAAGTCAAGAATTGATGGAAAATCCAGGCAATTGTGATGGGTGAAATTGGAGAAAAATTCCTCTTAATTCTCTTGCGCGCGATCTTCACCCAGTGAGTTTGGAATTGTATTGATGAGAACACCACGAGAAATATATCATGTGGTGAATTGTATTTAAATTGCATTATTCATGCTCTCGCCGTGAATGAAAATTCACTTGTCAGAGAGAAGTGAAAAGCTCATGGATATTTAGCCTGTGTGTAATCTATACTTTTGTACAACCCCCAAACTTTGTGCGCCGAGCATCGCAGGGCGGAAGATGCTGGGAGAGAATCTAGCGCAGCACACATGCTTCCGTGCCCTCTCGCTCTCCTCTTAATAATATAAAATCACAGGGGTGAAGTTTTATGTGTGTACACCTACGAAGGGCTGCGCTGTGTGCGGCGGGGGAGGTTTAGTCGTTTTGTACACATATCCTAGAGGCACATGTTGAACTAACCGAACCCCCTGTCATTTTGGGACTCTTGGTTTCCATCAACAACCCACAAGGTTCAACTATGATTTTCCGCAATACACCCATCCAGATTCCGCCCGTCATCCCCTGTGCATTAGGGCTCCATCGCCGTGGAGCTGCGGCGGTGTGAAGCGGGGGGGAGCTAAATGCCTCTCGCCGTGCTCGAGGAGTGTGGAAACTTTAAGGAAATTTCAAGGATTCGCCCGATAGTGGCGGCAGGGTGACTTGGCGGTAATAGATTGCATACAAGTGCGCCTCCCCCTCAGCCACCCACTGCTATTTATTTACTCCAGCCTGAGAGAGAGAGTGCTGAAATATTCACCCCGTGACTCTGCCGCCCATCGCGTACATAAGGTAATTGCTTAAAGTAGCTCAATATCTCCATTTTTCCACACACGCGCGCGCTCAAATTCAACTGTCAAATTTTGCGGAAATCCCACTTGTGATCTCCTCATCGCTTCTCATAAGAATTTTCTACATTGATGAGCATCAGGGGTTGATATCGGAAGCTCTTCCACGCTCATTTGGCCGCCCCGGGGGCAAAACAAGCCACCACGAAGAATGTCTGCAGGAGCATTTCTTCTGAACCGGCACAAGGCAGATATGAACACATCAAATTATGATTTACAGTTGAGAGCCTCATTTGATGTCGCTATAGGAATACTTTCTTTGATAGGACGGAACACAGCACAGACAATCTGATTATCTATATCGAGTTAGTGGTTTAGAAACTCACACACACAGAACGCCATGAGTCGCTCACAAAAGGGGATTTTGCGGGTGCGGAGCGAAAGGAATCAAAAGGAACATCAACAGAAAGCCACTAATTTATACATGTCTTCGCTACACTGACTCCCCTTTACGTAACCCGCCACACAGAGCCAACCCCCAACCCTGTGCGGCAGGAAATTCCAATGGACGCCGGAGACAAAAATCAGTGCCGGCACAGGGCGGCCAATAACCCCAAGCCATGGGGTGGATGCCATAGAATTTTGAAGCGTCATATTTCCTGTTTATTATTTAGGAGGGCAGCGCTTTGACGTGAGTCACTCTGTCGGAGGGTTTGTCGGATCCGTGCTGAGATGGAGGCTTTTATTTTCCGTTTTAAATGTTTTTAAAATATGCATGACAATTTGTCGTCTATCAAGGCAATTGATCTTGTGTCAATCTAAGTTGGTTGAAAGGACAGATTACTAAGTTTCAGGACATCACAAATATGCGAATATTAGGCCCTTATCAGACATAAATGTGCAATTTCCTTGATTAAACACAATTTTAGGGGTAAAATCTTGGGAAAAATAGTTCAAATCAACATTCTAAGGCCTAATTAGTCTATATTAGTCCATATCAAGGGGAGATAATTAGTCAAAAGTGATGAACAGATCAACGGAAGTGTTTAAAAACTTACAATATTTCTTTTCTGACAGATTCTTTCGCCTTTTCTAGGTTATGTAAGGAATCTAAGACAGATTAAGTGAATATTCCACATTCGAAGTCATCAATTCTAATCCTTAAGCTGTAAAGATTACAAATCAATGGCAGAATTAAGGATTTGATGCCAAGAAATACTTCAAAATGTGTTAATGTCGATCATAACCTCAAAAATAATAATTAAGACTTGAAAAAATGGTGAAATAGGAAACTTTCTAGACGATTTTGACTCTGAATCAGCAATTCTGAGTTTACAGTCGATTTTATCATTTAGAAAAAGCTTCCAAGCAGAGTCTTTAAAGATCTCTTAGTGATATTTTTGAGGTTATGGTCGGAAAGATGCCCTAAAAGAGTGTTTTTATGTGCATTCTTCAGAAATAAAGCGAATAGAAACTTAAAAGATTCAATTTAATTTGAGAATTATTGAGAAAATAGTCTAAAATCTAAGTTCTGAGCACATTTGGTCCATATGAGCCCTCTTTTACCCTTAAAAACCCACTTTAATTAGTCAAATTCGTGCATAAAATCCCTCAAAGCGATTATTTAGTTCCTCATTAAAATAATCTTTAATATCAATGTGCTTTAACATATGCAAGTTGCCTGATAATGTGATTAAGCTTGCTTTTTCAATGCAAACTGGCAAATTAATCTGGGCATATTTGGCACACTTGAAAAGGCATCAAATGTCCATTGAGAGCCGAACCTACAATTTCCAATTAAGGCAACATTCTTGTTAGTTTCTTCAGGTCATATGTACACATAGATATTGCACTTCCACCCCTTGCGAAGCCGCATGTGGCACTCCACCCTCTTCTGTTCGCATCAATTTGAACGTGAGCGAATTCGATGCCACATTTGAGGGCCTCTGTTGCCCTATTGAGCGCATCGAGGCTCTGAGGAAATTACGTGTGCAGGATTTGGCATCCTGTTGAGACGCATTGCAAAGTGGCGCCATGCAAGCATTGTCGAGCGTTGGGGCATCATTTTCACCCCTCGCGGGGGGGCGACGAGTGCAATAAAAGGGAAAATCTTATTTTCATTTTCGGCGAGGCGAGAGAGAGAGAGAAAAAAAGGGACACTGCGGCGGGGAAGAGGGTTGCGAGGGTGTGTGTGCGTGCGAGATCCCCTCCTTGGCACCGATGAGGGTGTGAAGAAGAGCGCCTGGGTGACAGAGTGAGAGGGGTGGATGGCGAGGAAAGTGGAGATTCTCAACTCAAAGAGACAATGTTATGAGATTTCAGTGCATTTGGAGTGGAAGTCACTAAACGCATGCGTTCAATTATGATTCCTCGAGTACACTGTGTTGCCATCGAACACCTTTCCATCCCCATACAGTGCCAGGAGTGTGTTAGGGCTCCTCAATGAGTGGATTTTTCCCATTCAACCACCACAATCACACTCCGAAGCGTCTCGGTGTGTGTTCACACCATCGCACTCTGCCCAAACATCCCTCCATCTCGCTCACGCGCCAGCACAAGAGCGTGCCACAGAGCGAGAGCGCATGAGGAGCAGAATTTGGCTTCACGGGAACATCCGTCGGGCTCGGACGTACTCTCGACAGTCTGTTTCAGGTTGTTGCGTACAATAGGCGAGCCCTGTTTACGCATCCGCGACGGACGCGTTCGATTCTGCCAAGAGGGCATCAATTATTTATCCATTTGCCGAGCGCAGTGTGGATGTGACTCCTAGGCTTCCGTGACAATGATCGTGCACGAGTTAATGTGAATTTGTGCGACCATTAGCATGTGAGACGTGATTTCGCGGCATCGCACGAGGACTCGAGAGAGTGTTTCAGTGGGTAAGAAGGTCCCGTGGATGCGTTGTGACGTAATCAGGACATTTTTCCCAACTGCGAAATATGGTGTCGATCTGGTCAGGGAAATACTTTCGAAATTCATCCCCTCATTGAGCATCACTCGCGCCCCGCGTTCTGCATATTTTGCGTATTTTGCATACTTGAGTGGCGTGTTTTTCGCCAACCAACCCTTCGCTGTATTTCACTTTTTCTTTTACGATTAAATATTAATAAAGCACATAATATTCCGGAAACGACTACAAGACTCTCCGCTCTTTTTTTCTTCTCGTTTTTTTTTTTTATAACTCACCTGCGCAATTTTAATTAATTTGATATCCGTTTGACACGAATATGCAATTTTGCTCAGGAAACCCGCGTTCTTTCGTTCTCTTCGCTCTCAAGTGTGACCTCTGTCGAAAAAGGAAGACTTTCCTGAGTGTGTCTCAAGAGAAGAGGAGAAAAAAGAAGGCCGTACGTGAAATTTGTCGGTGTTCGTTGGGAAATAAATAAGATGCAATTTATCTCCGTGACAGTTGGACAAGTGATGCTATTTGCTATATTTATTGTATATAATTAAACGCATTGCTATTTTTACAATTTTTTCCATCGTCTCTCCACCAAATGCTATTATTAGCGGGGTTTGTCTGCCGAGGAAGGCGTGGAAAGCGGGGGGGGGTCGTTGAGGGCAAATCATCACAGAAAATTATATCGGTTCTTTGAGGAAGTCTTTCGCGAAATTGACGCTATCGCGCGCGACAATGATGGGCTAAAAGTCACTCGCATTGCAGCCACACACACTCAAGAAGTGCCATTCGCGGCTGTGAAAGTGCAAAAGTTTTTAATAGAATATTTCGACAATGTGGAATTTGGGGAAGTTTTCCCTTCGGCGCGCGGGGGTTGAAAAGAGAAAGAGAGACTCAAATTGGATTTACGGGTAACAAAAAGCAGTTTGAATAATGCCACATAATGCGAAGAAATATGTCCGTACGATTTCACATTCTCTCGCTCTCAATTGGACATTACTTGGTCGCCTGGCGAGAGGCAGAGCTGAAGTCCCACTTAATCATAACACAGCAAGGAGCGCGCTGTGCCGACGCCTCGGAAGAGTATGAAAAGGCACATAGGGCAAATTTATTTAAATTGGCTCAATTGAGTTTCATGATAATCATTTCTTCTCATTTAGAAGAATATCGTGAAGGAAATATATGTGTGCGCCAGTGAATGGGGCGCGCCGAGGGATGCGAGCAAGTGGAATGCATGGCCTCTGATGCTGGGGCAATTATTGCATCCCAAATCATTCTATAGACATTCATTAGGCCCCATCTAGAAGGATTATTTTCACATTCATCCACTCCGTTTTCTTGTTCTTTTTTCCCTCCGCGACACCGTCAGTGACGTCCAAACACTCAAGACTGGGATGAATTAATACCATTCTGAGCCACTGAGAGCAACTAAAGAGCAAATATTTGGAGGGTAAAATCGAAAAATTGGAGAAGATTTTGCGAGTAAAATCTTAAGGGACACTTTACGGGTTTGAAAGATTCTCGTTTCTTCAGAAATAAGGAAGTTTTTCTAATTACGCACACGTTTTTAACGTAAAATCTTAAGTAAAACCCTAAAATTCCGATTATAGCTTAAGTATTTAAGCAATTCATTGAGTGTTTGCAAACTTTTCAGCTGAGAAACTTGCTTGATTCATGAAAAATGAGGAAAATAACGTGATTTCGACCACTAAATTCAATCCTTTTGACTGTCTTATGCAGTAATTCTTCGCGTCCTTGCGCTGAGAAGTCAGTGACAGAGATCTTCATTGAATAATTTGGGCGCGCTTGTATGAGAATTCATCCAAGAGATGAAAATATGACTGAGCATGTAGAATTGTTGGCCTCAGAATGGAATAGCGTCACTTTCCAACTGATTCACCCGGTATGGCTATAATTAATCTTATTGAGGAGTGAGACGAGAGTTGGAGATATATAGAAGAGTGAAATGTTTATTGCGAGTTAATTAAATTTTCTGTAGGGAAATTTAAGCGTATTGAGGAAAGTTTTAAGCACCGCGCCGTGGATAAACCACTCTTCTGCGTGTGCTTCTTCTTCTGCTGGTGAACAAGTACACAATCACGCGCGCGGGGTTCTTTCAAGACACACAGAGAGCGAGAGATTCTTTGGGTTATGGAAGATATCTATGGGGCTTTAGAGAGAGAGAGAGTGTGAGAGAGAGATATTAATTTATCTTAGTCGCCTCATTCGCCTCCCAAAAACTCCTCACACAACAACTCTTGCCAAACAACAATGAAATGTTGATTAGATCGGCATCAATTCATGAAATCAATTTATCAATTAAAGTCCAAGAAACTCTTGAATTGCTGGAGGAGGGCCGCAGTTGAATAGGAAATAGGAAAGTGGAGAGAGAGTGCAAGAACTCGAGAATATTTTGAGAATATAATTATCCCTGGGTGTCCGTGTGTGCGTGGCCAGTGAGAGAAATGATTTATGTTGAAAAGTTGGTGGTACATGTTCATTGTCTAAGTGCTTGAGGACTGAGTTTATCATCAAAGTGTAATGCCGAGCACGGGCAATTGTCTCTGCTGTCAGTGAATCCATCGCGGGAGAGAAATATTTGATACTTTTTCTGCACCGCCGCCGCCGCCGCCGCCGCCGCCAAGGGGGAGGCGCGCCCCAGCCGGCCGAAACATGACGATGAAATCTATGAAGTACTCCGATTGTGACACCATAATGGATGGATACAATCCAGTTCCGCCACCATTGCCGCGGCGAGTGCCGCCAGTTAGGAATATTTATGCCGAACCATTCACATCTGAAACCAGTACCAACAGGTAACGTTGAAAAAAAAGCAGAGAGAATTCTCACATTGACACCACTGGCCGTGCCATAAAATGAGAAATATCTTCTTTCAAACCTCCACGGAGTTTCCTCTCTGTCCGACACTGTAAATATCATATTTTATTGGATATCTCAACATAATGCTCTGCGTTAAATTTTCGAGCGCTCCCAGCATTCGAGAGGAGTGCTGTTGATTTCTCCAGCGGTGGGCCTCAAGGGACAGATTCTCATTCTAACAGAAATGGGAATGATGTACAATCCCAACTGGGCTCCGATGCTGCTGAAAGATGAAATATTTATTCAGCAAATCGTCCCACAGAAGTCACTGAACGATACATTCAGTCCTATTCTACTTTGCAGTCTTCGGAGTGATTCCCAATTAAACACGGGAATGTTAAACTGTTAAATTTCAAACATTTAAAAGTTTAACATCCCAAATTAATAGGGAAAAAGAATCCTTTCTATTCCCGCTTCAATATTCTTAGAAAGTTTTAAGCGCTTTCACAATGTGTAAGAGAAGAAAATGTGTGAAATTTGCCAAGATTATTAAAATTCAAGTTAATAATTAGTAAATCCGCGATAAAAAGTATTAACTGCAATTATCTTTCATGTTTATGCTTGAAAATTAGAGTCACAATGACAGATTGATCCATCTTTGCAAGATAATTTGAAGTTTCTGATCTGTAATTATGCTTTTAACACATCCTTTAACACACATTGACTTAAAACGTGTGAATCAGAATGAAAAATAACACTCGTATCGGATTTTTAACACAATCGCCGTTTTAAGCAAGCAAAACACTTTCTTAAATTGATTTAACACATTTTTAACATTCCTTGTTTGAATGGGAATCGCTTCGATTTCCTGAAATTTAGACGTTATTTTCAAAATCAATTAATATTCAGATTAGAGCAAATTTTGAACAATTAACTCTACAAAGTGAGAGACTTTTTCTTGACAGAATTTATGTCTTTTAATTGCAATTTAAATCTTGAATCTGAAATTTCTTCCACATTTTATATTACGTAGAAATTCTGAAGGAAATTTATGTTCTTGACAATATTGTTGTTGAGTTATACAATCATAAGATGAGATTGGGTGAAGTTGAATGCGCGATTCAATGGAGAAATACAGAATTAATTGAGCAATTTCTCTCAAAAGCGAAGTACATTATTTTTCCACATGAAGTGCCCCTTGGCGAAAAGGCGTTTTCAGTCATCCAGAAGAAACAAACAATGTTCCACAAGTCTTCCTCATTAAACATTTATAACAATGTCTCTCTCTCTCGGTCTGACTTTTTCTCTGGGTTCTGTTTTGAGGGAAAATATTGAACGCTAATTTATGATTTATTGCCTTTCAAAATGTTAATAATTCACCAAGTCAATTCCACCATATGGTTTAACACGAGTCAACCGCCAACTGGAGATTGTTGGGAAAATGTAGTTTAAGTCTCCTTCTGGCTGGTAGTTTAGCCTCGAACTTCCACCCTCAGTGCATCACCCGGAGCAACAGAAACTCAAGGGGTTGATGACTATCAGAGAGCAAATGCAATCGGGCAGCATATTTTTATTCCCAACTCATTCTCACCCACAATCCGCAGAATGATCGATAAAGAACACGCTCGCAGATACACAAAAGTCGTTGCCACAGCGATAATCTTCAACCCAGAGTGAGAGAGAGAGTGAGAGTGGAAGAAGTTTAAACCCTGGCGGAAAACTGTGCTTGAGGATTTCAATTAAAAAATCTTTGGGGCGGGAGTTTTGTAAGACATCGACGCGACACGAGTTGTATCGCCCCAGAAATTGGGTTATTCTATTTGTTTTGAAATTTACTTCTTTTCAATAATTCATTCCCGAAGCTCCGAAATATTTTTCCTTCTATGGTTCCGGGCTATGAATTAAGTATTCACTCGACGAAGTGTTCTATAAATTATGTATTAAGCACGAGGAGGGTTTAAATAATGCTTTAGAAGAGAACATTTTGCCGCTTTTTTCTGCCTCGGCGTTTTCTTCACATTTCTCTCGACTCGCAGGGAATTTTTGGGAGCATTCTCGATTGGTCACTTGAGCGCATAAAGTCTTCTGAGACAATTATCTTTGGCTCAGCAGTGAAATTATTGTCCATTTGCACAATCTTTTCCCACTTCTTCAGCTGGCAAAAGTGTCCAAATTCACAAAACTTCTATTCCTGTTATATGGCGAAATCAAAGGACATCAATTTGAAGAAGATGTGTGCTTTTGTCCTGATTTTGTCCTTCCCAAGAGTTTTTTTTACACACACACACTTTTGGGACTTTGAGAAACTTTGGTAAATATATTTTTTTCAATTTTCCACCCAAAAGTTTTCCCCCTTTTTTTCACACTAATTGTGGGAAAAGCAAACAATAGCCCGAAGAAAGTAGGTATTTCCTTGGAAACAATCAATGTGACTTTCACACTGAAAAGTTCTCTCTTTGCTTCGTCATTGTTGAAGTCGATTTTCGAGTGGCAAAAAGAAATTGTTAAAATGTGTAAAGAAAAGAAAAAAAAAAGAGTTCATTTCTCCCTCAGATTGCATACAATTTACATAGATAATGTGTGACAGTGGAGTTTTTTCCGCCTCTTTCACTGGGTATTTGTGGGTGGTTTTTCAAGGGGTTGCAAATTTTGGCAGATCCCCTAAAGAAGCCCGAAAAAATAAATTAGGATCTCACAAGGCGAAGTGGTGAAAATGTTGGGTGAGGAAATTTAGCGTGAAAGAGCATTTTCGCTTTGTCTTCTTTCATCATTTCGCCGCCGCCGCCCCAAAAGACGCTTCTTCTTTGCCATTTATGTATGGAAATTTTCGGGTAATGCCAGAACCAACCCTTCCTTTATTTTCCCTCATTATGAAATCCATAAACAAAGCATTTACACTTGGAAACCTCTTGCCAAATCCTTCGCCAGAGAGTGGAAAAAAAATACGCGCTGGACGAAATGGCTTTGGATATGACAATGGATTTTATCAAGGGGAGGATAATGTGCCTTAAATCTGTACATCAAATCCGAAACTCTGCCAAAAATGCCTGAAACTTCCAGCACTTGATATTTTTAGACCAATTTTTAGGCAGTTTATCACTAAAATCGACTGAAATTACTTAAAAACTCTTTTTCCGGGTACTTTTTCCAACCAAAACCTAAAAAATATCACTAAGAAATCTTTAAAACACTCAATTTCGAAGCTTTCTTTCTGTAGAAGCTGACGAAAATGGCCTTTTTAGCTCAAATTCCCTTTCTTCTCTGAATCATGCTAACGTCAGTCCAATCTTCCTTCTTATTGACATTTCTATAACCCGATAAGAAGATATGCAGGGCTTCGAATGCTTCCAGTTTCTTTTTTGTTGTGGAAGCTTTCAAGATCACAAAAGTGTTTTAAATTGCTGATTTAGTGTCAAAGTATCCCAAAAAGTCGTTTAAATAAACATTTTTCAAGTTCAAATTCATATTTTTGAGGTTAAGTTTGACCTTAACACAATTTGCAGTGTTTCTTGGCATCAGTTGTTGCAGAATAGCAATTTCTCTGTCTTAAGCATAAGAATTGATGGGCTAAAATGCGAATTATTCACCAAATCTCTCCTTAATTCCTTACATAACCTAGAAAAGGATTATTTTGATTGATTCTACGTAAAAATCAAGAGAAATCCAATGAATCAGGACAATTTGGCACGTAAAAGAAGCACTCGGGAAAGGATTATTGTAAGTTTTTCGATACTTCCACTTGTACACCACTTCCGACTGCATTATCTCCCCCTTGACCTGCATATCGCAGGCCGGATTGGAGCTTCTGCGGGGCATCGGGATTATTTATTGGAAAATTAGGCGCACAATGAGGGTCACAGCGCAGTGCTGCAGAGGCGAAATCTCTGCCTCGCAATCTCCTAATGCATGGCTGAGAGATAAGCGACAGGAGAAGCCATTTCACCACCTTTTGCGGCACAAGCGACTACAGATGAGCGCTTCATCCCCAACATTGCTCGGTTGCGTAAACATGAGGGGTTCAGGCTCAACTGTGTGCATCGGGGTTTAAGACTGGCAGAGCGTGATGAGGTGCACATAGAGCTGAGTTTTCCATGCTTTCCATTCGCCCCCCCAGGACACGATTGATATGATTTGGCGGTAGCAGAATTTGCAAATTTTGAAGCTACACGGACTCTCTAATTTTATAATTTCCATTTAATCCACTTTGGACTCCAAACTCGATTTCGTGCGCTTCTCCCCCCAAGGGAAGAGTGCCAGGAGGGATGAATTTTCATCCCTCTTCTTCTGCACTCAGAAAAATTAATCTCTCGAAGGTGACATGGAAGTTTTCGACAATGCCATCATTCTGTGCGGACAGTGCGAGGCGCAAAGTTCTTTGCAATAGTATTGATTTCCCCTCGCCAAGGACTTCTCGTTGCTCTCTCTCTCTCTGTGTGTCTGCCGAAATGCTTGACCTATTTTCCCTCCGAAAACTTGTCGCAATTTCGCATAATACGGATAAATGTTTCACAACATGAATATTCAAGCTTAGTTTCCGGGGAAAGACTCGCCATGCTTGCATTAATCCATGTCTCTCTGTAATTCCTTTGGCTACACAAGCCAATGGCGGAGGACGAATGATTGGAAATATTCACAAGATTGCATCTAACTAGGTATGGACTTAATCTCATCTGCCATTGTGCTCCTCTCTTGTTTGGGATTCTCTATTATGGATTTGGCATATTCATAAGTCGATCACACAATAGTTCGCCTGGAGGAAGCCTGAGAAATTGGTTGATTTAATGGGAATTTTCCAACGCAGATCTGCACATTAGCCATCAGAGCCTGGATGGAGAATTATAAGATTCATCTGAGTGTGCTCTCTGCCATCCCTTGTTGGCATTGAAAGGCCCTCAGCGAAAGGGGGCAGAGATCGATGACGTTGCGTAGCGCCTGGAAGATGAATTTAATCATATTGTGCTTATATTTACTCACTACAGAATGTAAATAAATACCC